AGTTTGTTGTGTTTCTGAACAAGTTGATTTTTCTTTTTATTATTCTTATTATCTGTTTTTCATTTGAAGCCTGTAAGTGGTGGCAAGCTTCTATAAGTTTCTGTCTTGTGCTTAATTTTGTGACCAGTTTATAACTATTTGAGGAACATTTTGTACTCTCTCCTTCTGAAGTGTTGGTCATTAACTCTCATTCCTGTTGCTTTGGACAGGTTATGATTTTCAAGATACATATGTGCAAGAAATAGAAGAACCTTCCCAAACAAATATGGATACTCTGCGGATATTAGATAGAAAGAAACGTGATGTTCTGACTGGTTTCAAAGTTGCATCGCATTATGACCGTATACTGGAGAGGTGCTTATTTATGCAAAATATCCTACTGAAGTAGAAGCCTTCATATCAAATGGCTGTCTTGATTTATTAAAGTAAATAATGATGTACCATATTGGCATGTTAGGAAAACTGACTCAAGTGCTGGTGGCATTTTTTTTTTTTTCCTGTCCTTTTTAATCTTCTATCTCTAGGTCGTATCAAATGAATAGAGCTGTTTACCATTTACCACTTCCTCTCTTTTTCCCTTTTCTCTATGAGTTTCTAGCAAACTAATTGGGAGGTTTTATCCCTCTTTTTCCGGCTCCATTCACCTTTTTCATCCTTGCATAATGCACTAGGAGGAAAAGGGAGGGTGGGACCTTGTAAACACTAACACTCTATCAAGATCAGACGTATCATTCGTCGCCATTGATTTGAATGTGTTTTTTAATATTTTTGGTGCTGCATTATGATCCTGACTTTTGATAAATAGCTTCATAATTTTTATTTGGCTACTCTTCTGAGGAAATAAGGCGGTGACACATGCTGGTTCAATTTAGTATACATTACTCATTGCTGCATGCTATTTACAGATTTGATCCTCCGGAAATTCCAAAGGATTTTGTTCCCCATCACAAGTTTTCCGCACCTCTTGGAAGCGTAGATGAGACAGCTGAAACCCCTCCAGCTGAGGTTCTTGTTCCAGAAGATAACAATCTTAAGGTCTTAATTGAAGGGGTAGCTAGTTTAGTAGCTCGATGTGGAAAGTTGTTTGAGGATCTCTATAGGGAGAAGAATCAATCAAACCCATTATTTGACTTCCTTCGTGGAGGAAATGGTTCTGATTTTTACGCGAGGAAGCTCTGGGAAGAGCGCCAAAAGCGTGGTGAACAACAAACGAAGCTGTGGGAAGGGAAAAAATCTCAGAATTCGGAACAGCTGACTGCTGAAAGACGTGGGAAAATATTAGGAGAAAAGGCTCTGGAGAGAAGCACGAGAGATTCCAGCTCTTTGGTTGCTTCTGCTAGTTCTGTGAACATTCTGTTAAAACTTTCAGATACCTTCACTAAACCTGCACCAATTGTGAGTAGCTAGCTAATACACACACACATATATATATATATATTTATGAGAAAATTCGTGGATTTGTTGTTATTGGATGAATATTCTAGCAGCTTCATAATTGTTTAAGTTTTCTGTCAATTTAATTGCATTAATTATATTTTCATTCTTTTATTTTTTGTCTTGTAGAATGAGCAACAGGATTTTGGGAAGCCTTTCCTTGATGATCCCGCAAAGCAAAAAAGATTTGAACAGTTCTTGAAGGAGAAGTATGAAGGTGGTCTTCGAAGTAAAGATTCAGGTGGTTCTAGTAACATGTCTGAAGCTGCTCGTGCTCGTGAAAGACTGGAATTTGAAGCCGCAGCAGAGGCTATAGAGAAAGGAAAAACAGGTGAAGAAAGAAATTCCACCAGCCAATTATTATCTGATATGTCAGCCTCTGCAGGATTACAGTTTACTCTTGGTGGAGTAGAGGTATGTTTGGTGCAACGAGAATTTGTTTCAGGACTGGTTTTTACTTGGTAAAATTTGATACTCTATTGTTATGCATGAATGGTTTATTTGCAGAAAGATAAAGTTTCACAGGATGAGGATTTAATGATAAAAGCAATGTATCCAAAAAGGGAAGAGTTTCAATGGCGGCCTGCACCAATTTTGTGCAAGCGTTTTGATTTGATTGATCCTTACATGGGCAAGGTACGAAATACGATTTTCCTGGGTGCTTCAGTGGCGTTTCTTTCACACTGTATACCTTGTTGATGATTTATAATTTTCTATCTCATACAATGTGTACCAATGTTTCAAAAGTTACATTGTTTTTCTACAAGCACTTGCTTTGATCAAAGCTAGTTTAATCCAGATATTAATTAAATGGGATTTGCCAATTTGGTTGGATTTGAATAAACCTGCGCTTAAGCAACTAGTCACCGACCTTAAAAAGATTGTGGATGAACATAATTGTTGATACGAGAATGTTATTTGATCACCCTATGGCTTTTCCAGCTTCTGGTTATTAAGGGTGCAGTTGGAACATTTGGTCAAAGATGTGTATAAACTGATTCTTGCAAAATGACACGACTACAAAATCTGTAATTTTAGCAAATCTCAGAGGTCTGGTGAATGACGGACTTGGTAACCAATATTGGCAAATATCAATGAAGTTTTGGTGTATGGCATTGTGAGATCTATGCTTTTTGAACATGGTCTGATTGAACAGACAACAATACACTGGTGACCTTTTTTGCAGTCACCGTGATGCAATACCTGCCAATTTGTTTGCACTTTAGATCAAATGAATAAGAATTTTTGAATTTATAACGCATGTCGATTGGAAACATTTGTCTCCTCATTCTTACTTTTTACGCGAATAAGAATCCAGTGTTCTTTGTGTTGCACTTGTGTTTTAAGAGTTCTTTTCCAGGTCATTTTGTTCGATATATATGACTTATTTATACAATTTTCCTTGTATTCTGCCTGGGCCAATATGTTTTTACAATGTTATGTATATGTGTATCTCTGTATGCAGCCACCACCTGCTCCACGTGTGAGGAGCAAAATGGACTCTTTGATTTTCATGCCAGACTCGACCAAAACTTCAATGGTGGAAGAACATGTCGTGAATGAGCAAGCCTCATCTGTAGCTCAAACGCAAAAAAGAAAGCCAGGCATGGAAACAACTGACAAGGAAATTGAGGACGAATTGGAGATTGAAAATGTCGAGAGGCCCGTTGATCTCTATAAAGTACATTCGATTACTGTTTCATTTTATTTTATGGTTATTTAAATAAATATCTACCTACCCCTGTGGTTTTTGCTACTTGCATTAAAGGTTCATCCATGTTTTAGAACTAGCTAGAAGATAACTGTGGAGGGTATTGCATTTGATTTTGATCAACAAAAAGCCTCTTTTTGATCACAGTTTTCACGGTTTACGCTTTCACAAGATAAATGTTGGGGTTATTCGTAATTTTATACGCTAACTGGAAAAGTTCAGGGGTAGTCATTTGTGACCATCTGTATTTGTCAATTTTGTTGACGTGCCGAAGGCTATGTATATTAATCTTTCTGCTAATAATGTCTCTAACCAATACTTGTCCTATTCCAGGCTATTTTTTCTGATGATTCGGATGATGAAGAGGAGACTACTACATCCGAGCAAGTGGAGGACACACAAAAGAAGATTGAAGTTGCAAACACCACTCTGAATCGTTTAATGGCCGGAGACTTTTTAGAATCGTTGGGGAAAGAATTAGGTTTAATGGTCCCTCCCGAGAAAAAACCCCTGCCAGAAAATAGAACTGTTCGAAAAGAAAATATCCATGTCGATGGAGAAAGTAGCGACTTTACAAAGTCTGAGAAAATGTTGGCTGCACCAAATTTTGCAGGAAATTTGACAAATATTGAAAAAACAGTTTACACAGCAGCAGATGATTTACGAAGTCCTCAAGTAGGTCCAAGCAATGTCGTTTTTCAAAAAACGGGCATGCAAAAACATGACAGTAAAGAAAATCTGAAGATTTCTAGGGACAAAAAATACGTTGATTACTCTCATAAAACTCGGAAGAGCAACGGTTGGAGTAGCAGTTCTTCTGATGATGAAAGAGGGAGAAAAAATTCGAGAAGCCGTGGGCGTAAAAGCAGAAATTCAGAAAGTGATACTTCAAATGAGTCGAGTGATTATCGAGATAGACAGCGTTCAAAGTCGAGAAGAAAAGATAAAGGGAGCTCTCGGGAAAAGAGTAGCTGCAGGAGACATTCGAAGCATCACAAACACAGAAGAAAGGATTCTCCCAGTCGATCACATCGAGGGTCCGTTAAAGAACATGAAAGTCGGAAAAAAAAGAAGAATAAATATGACAAATGAAGAGATTCTTTGCTACTTGTAAAAGGAAAATGAAATTCAAACTGGTCTGTCCAGCTTTTTCTCGTTTCTGGATTGATTTTACTGCATGGCTCTAAATCTGTATTTAAATCTTATGCTCTCGAAGCTCGTTTTTTTATTTTTATGCCTGGTGCTACTTTTTGATTTCTCTGAATTATTGCTAGTGGCGACAGATACACAATTCGTCACCGATGAGTTTATATATATATATTTTTTTTAAAAAAGATTTTTAACATACGAAAATTGGTCCTGGAACTGAGTATTATTATTTTCTGTTGAGGCCACGATGGACACGTGCCGCCAAGTTTAAGATATTTAAAATGATAGCAGCGTTCTAAACTGTCTTCATTCCTAGGATTTTGTTTGTTATAAAATCCTTTCAAAAGATGTCAGAGGGCAGGGCAGCCCCCAATTTTTGGGAGTCTCAAGCAATATCCCGAATGTAGTTAACGTTATTAATTGGGAGGACGAGCAACATATTGTATGTATAAGGTTTTCACGCATTGTTTAAAATAGGGAAAATACATGCAACTGAAATAAATACAAAGAGATTTGTGAGAAAAAAAATCCCTTAAAATAAAAAGTTCCAATTGGAAAACGATCAGGTATTAGATTTCCAATTAAAACTATCTTCATATTGATAATTTTAATGGATTTCCAAAGGACAGTTCATAGAACTATTAAAGACGGTTAATATTCAAAGAAAATTAATAGGCAACCATCTGCATATATAAGATAAGATCCAATGATTTTGGTTGAAAAGAAACACACCAACAAACGAGTCACAAAGGAACCAAAAGCAACGATGGAATCCACAGCAGAAGCGGATGGTAAGAAATTACAGTACTGTAGACCTTTTGTATATTATTTAGCTTTATTTACATATGTACGGTTTCTAATATTCTTGTTATGCTAGTTTCTTTATATTGAACCAAAAGCAACCGTTGATATATATATAAGGAAATGTTCACATGCCCACGGTGGGCACATGTTAATATGTCCACCGCTGATGTGGCATGCATACAAAGGCAATATATATATATGCATGTTTTGGTTTGAAGTTGTATTTCGTTTCTGTTCTTACAGTAGCCATTATGGAAACAAGAGAGGCTTCGCCAGCTCATTTGTTGATCAAAATTCAATCTTTCTCGTTGCTTGCGAAGCATGGGATCGAGAAATTTGAGACGACTGAATTTGAGTCCGGGGGATACAAGTGGTACGTGATGGGTTTTCTCGTGTTATATAAAGAATAACAACACAACTAAAATATCAGTTGAAAGAAAATATTTATTTTATGCTTCATGCATTTCAAAATTTGTGCAGGAAACTTATAATTTACCCAAGTGGAAAGGAAAGAGACGAAGGGTATGTTTCAGTAGACTTAGCCATTGTGAATGCTGGTGGCTCTCCTGCAGGCTGGGAGGTTAATGCAGTCTTCATGATCTTCTTGTTTAATCAGATTTCCGGCAATTATAGCTATTCACTAGGTAAATTAAATTTCTAGTCAACCCGTGGCAAAATATATTTAGAAAAAGATATGCTGAGTTGCCCAATTCGTTACAATAATTCATCCAAAAAGGTAAACTATTCACCTTACTGGGAGTAGCTTTTCCTATTTTGGTCTACCTGTTTTCGGTCTGGTCGTGAAATTCCTGTGTTTGTCTAGTTCATTTTGGGTCCAAATTAGTGTGTTTTTTTTAAAATTTTACCCATCATCTGCATTTGGGGTGCAACATTAATATGTTCTAAATATGCCAGTGCATTCACATTTCTTGTTACCTCTATTTATCTATCTATATATATATATATATATATATACGAAAACATATATATGTTTGTACATGCATTTTTTAAAACTAGATAGTGGTATCAGGCAGTCGGCGTTTTCTTGCAATAAAGACAGAATGGGGATTCTCAAAGTTCATCTCCAAGAAAGAACTTAACGATCCTAACAATGGATACCTCAGCCACGACGACATTTGTGTGTTTGGTGCTGAAGTTTTCGTTAACGAAAACAAAACAATCATTGATTGTCTGTCTTTGGAAAATGTTGTTGGTGCTCCCTACAAGCAAGAATGGAACATTCCCAACTTCTCTAAATTGGGGAATAAATGGGTTTCACCCGAGTTCTCTGTCGGAGGCCATAAATGGTATTTATGTTACTTAATATGTCGGGCTTCATTTCACATTATATATATATTCTTTTCTTTTTGTTCTTTTAGCAGACAGAAAGTATTTTTGTGCAGGAAAGTGAAGATGTATAGAAATGGAAGTGGAGAAAGTATTGGGCGCTTCTTATCTCTTTACTTATCCCCTATTTCTACGAATGGTAACAAAGAAAGACTGCACACGTGGCTTACAATCCGCATGAAGAACCAGCTTAGTAGTAAACACCAAAGCAGAGTTGGTAAGTCATGATAAGCACTTGAAATTTGCAAAATAAATCTCCTTTTCTTATTTTATGAAAATTGTTTACTTTTGAAACATCTTGTGTTGTAGGTTCCATATGGTTTTCAGCTGCTAGAGGCCGTAACTGGGGATGGCCTTCATTTATTGAGCTTGCTTTGTTGAAAGATCCTAATCAAGGCTTTGTCGTAAACGACTGCTGCATTATAGAAGTAGAGTTATCTGTGCAAGCTATAGCGAGCTCAGACTGATTTGTCTTATCAACTTTCAAACCAGACGAAAGTTCTTTTTATATGTTTTTTCAGTATTATTTAAATATGAATGAGATTTTATCAAATGAATTGCCATTTTTTTTTTTTTTCTTATGTGGGTTTTTTGGTGAAGTTGGGTTGGTTGGTGGGAAGAAAGTTGCCAATGCGTTTGTATTATTGAGAAATCGAAAGGGGCTCAGACTTATTTTGGCTTGGTTTCTCATTCAGTGGACATCGACTTAGTCAAAAAAGGCAAAATTGCATTTTGTGTGCCGCGTAAGTTGTGCCATGTGGCAAATGTGGATACTTCTTTTTTGTTTGGTAAAACATGACAGTAACGTATTAAAACCTGGAATTCGTGTTCAATTTACAAGTTATCAATTTCATTGGCTCAGTCTGATTTATCCGACGTAGATGCACATGTGTCACAAAAGATCGCCAAATTAGCAGAACTTCTTTTTCGTTTGCCACTTGTTAAAACCCAGAATTTGTGCTCAATTTATCGACAAGTTACCGAATTTTAACGTAGGTGCTGACTCACCCCGACATGGATGCGCATGTGTCACAGAAGACTGAATTTTAACCAGAATTTCTGGATTGATTTTACTGCATGGCTCTAAATCTGTATTTGAATCTTATGCTCTCGAAGCTCGTTTTTTATTTTTATGCCTGGTGCTACTTTTTGCTTTCTCTGAATTATTGTTAGTGGCGACAGATACACAGTTCGTTACCGATGAGTTTATGTATTTTCTTTTTAAAGATTTTTAACATACGACACTGTAACTGATAGTATTATTTTCTGTTGAGGCCACGATGGACACTGTTAGACAAAATGACCAATCCACACACTCATATTCCATGCAGCCCATAATGCACTCAATTCAGGCCCATGCAGCCCAACTCAATTTGGATTCAAAACCAGCACGTGAGAAAGAAATGGTGCATGAGAAGAGGACAAGCATAACGGATAGGGACAGCTGTATTGTACCAGCTTAATCTCAACCATTGATGAGGAATGATATAACAGGATAGGTGTATGGTTAGGATAGATGCTTAGTCATTTTTGTACTGTTCGATTCTTATCCAAAATGATGAGAGATGGCATTATATACTCGAGCAATGTAACAGTGGTTTATGCAATGAGAAATATATCTGTTCTTGTTCACATTTTCCAGACATGAATTTCTTTGATATCTTGTTCCTTATGATCCTGATACTTTTCTTTCATGGTATCAGAGCAGGTTACACCTGCTGCTGATACACCTATCCCTATCATTCCTTTTCTTTCTTTTCAATGTCAGATCTTGATACAGCCATGTCAGGCACAGGAGCACAAGCTCCTCATCTTAACTCATCTCTCCAAATCATCTACCCACAAAACCAACTCTTGACCACCAAACTCGATGAGAACAACTACCTTATATGGAAACAGCAAGCTCTCATCACCATTAGAGGATATGGTCTCGAGCAGTTCATTATTGGAGGACAAGAGCCATCTCAGTTCATACAGCAGCAGGAAGTTCAAACACTCAACCCAGAATTCATCACTTATCAGAGGCAAGATCAAATTCTTGCTTCATGGCTGCTATCTTCTTTATCTGAGAGCCTTCTTGTTCAAATGGTTGGTCTTCAAACTTCTAAAGAGATATGGTGATCGGTCGAAAAATTTGCGCGTTTTATATATTTAGTAGTGTATTTTTATACGCTTAATTTATTCGCACGTTTGTATTTTTTTTGACTTATTTATTATTTGAATAGATCCATACACATTGATAGTTTTTTATTTATTTTCAGCTTATTGGAGTATTTTGTGTACGCGAAGCATTGGACGAAAGTGCACGTGATTATTTATCGCCTCCCCCGATATCAGCCAAAGCTTAGGCCCAACGTTGATTATTAACACACTTGTTTTGGGCCCACAATTTCAGCCCAAGTTTAGGATATTTAAAAGAAATAGATGCAGCCAGGATTTTAAATTGGAGCCACGTGAACATCAAAATGGAGATTGAAGAGTTTGCAATTTGTTGGGGACTTATTGGTTGAGAGTCCACTCACGCACAAAACATAACATTGGGGAGGAATTATTTTTTATTGGCGTGGGGACAGAAGAAAAAAACAGAAGAGAATTGGCCAGAAGAAAAGCGCACGAACTGGAAAGAGCATATCACACGCGGAGGGAAGCCGCACTCGCACAAGGGAGATATTTTATTCTCTCTTTTATTTATTTATATTTATTTTTATTAGTATGTTAGGCTAGTATTTTTATCCAGTTTGAGGGAATGTTTGAACCCTAATTCCGATTTGTCTATGAATTGGATGATCTTTATTTATCGTTAATTAATCGAGACTCCGTATTTATTTTTGTTGATGAGTTGATTCATGCTATCTGTGTCGAATGCTTATAAATTATGAGTTTTTGATTTAGTTTGGCCAGCTAGGTTGAATATTCATAGTTTAATTGCTAGATTCGAGACTTTAATCCGTAATTGTTATTGTCTCGTTTCGTTAGTAGTAAACTAGGGGTCGTGCATCTCTAGGGTAGCGTGAACATAAGTTAAATGGTCCGAGATTTTGCGTCCGTTGCTTAGACTGATCTATTTTTCTAGAGATTAATGCTGCTAGTGAATTAAATCTAGAGAGCTTATTCTAGGTTGTCCACTAGTTAGGTTTAGTCGAAGAGCTTATTTCGATTAAATATTCGGTAAGGGAAAATTCGGTTAACAGAGCTTGTTGTTAGCTAGGGTCGGTAATTCATTAGCAATTTAAAGAAAGCGTCGAAATTAATTAACCGTAGATTTAGATTGGGTGATAACTAAACCGAAAACTGGACTTCTCTTATTTTATTTGATTTTTATTTTATTTTCTTATTTTTATTTTTATTTTTATAAAACCAATCCCCCCCCATCTTTTATTGCTTTCCTAGTTAATTCAATTAATACGAGATTGTCACAATTTAATTCCTACTCCTCGTGGGATCGACCCTTACTCGCCACTACTACTAGTTAGTAGAGGTTTGTTAAGGAAAAATTATAAATTTAAATTTCCCGCGTTGCGACGCGCGGTCATATGGCAAGCATTGTCTATAAATTTCACCAGTCAGTCCCTTGCAAAGCAAATGCAATTTAAGCTACAGCTTCAGACCATGAAGAAAGGGAACCAAACTATGAGAGACTTCCTCAACAAAATGAAGGGCTGTTTTGACATGTTGGCCTCGGTTGGAGCTAAGGTATCTGAAAAAGACCAGATCTTGCATATTATCTCTGCCTTAGGAAGTGAGTATGACCCTGTGATGATCACTGTCACCTCAAGAATTGATACATGGTCAGTTATGGATGTTCAAGCTCTCCTTTTGAGCTATGAGTCCAGATTAGAGGCAGCAACTACTCAGACCAATGTTGGAAATGTCAACCCAGATGGATCTCAACCTTCTCTCAACATAGCCACCCAAGGAAATCAAAGAGCAAACTAGAACAACAATACAAATCAAGGAAGGGGAAGAGGTGGCTTCAGAGGGAGAGGAAGGTCTAGAGGAGGTTTTAGAGGAGGAAGAGGAAGAGGAAGGAGTGTATGTCAAGTTTGCTGGGTTGCAGGTCACACAGCAGATAGATGCTGGTACAGATTTGATTCAAATTTTGTTCCTTCCACTCCACAGCAGCAAAGCAACACATCTCCCCAAAGCCAAAGTGGTGGATATAATAACTTCAACAGAAACCCAGCACTTCATTTGGCTCAGTTACCACCTCCTTCACCTAGCATTGGCTCAGAAAACAACTTTGAAAGTGTTTGGTATCCGGACTCAGGAGCTACAAACCATATCTCCAATGACTTGAGCAATCTTTCCAACATTTCAGAATATCAAGGAACCAACAGGCTTCACATGGGAAATGGAGTTGGTGAGTCTATTATTCATTTTGGCAAAGCTCAACTTACATCTCCTCATTCCTCTAGAATTTTCAAATTAAATAAGCTTCTCCATGTTCCTTCCATTACTAAAAACTTATTGAGTGTTTCAGAGTTTGCCATTGATAACAAGGTTTATTTTGAATTTCATCCTAACTTTTGTGTTGTTAAGGACCAGGTTACCCACCAAGTACTCCTCAAGGGAACCCTTAAAGCTGGCCTTTATCAATTCAACCTCACTAGTCAAAGTAACACACAAGACCTCACTCAAGACTTTTCAACCTTAGAACACACTCAGCCTAGCTCTTCTAGTGTTTATGCAGCTTCTGTAGTTTCTCATTCCAAGAAGTGTGACCTTGATTTGTGGCACAAAAGATTAGGACATTCTGCTTTTGATATTGTAATAAGAGCTTTGAATGATTGTAATGTTTCTTTTGAAAAGAATGCAATGAATGGTCCTTGTTCTTCTTGCTTGTTGGCTAAAGCACACAGGCTGCCTTATTCTCAATCTGAAACCATTTGTGATGAACCTCTTCAACTTGTTCATTCTGATTTATGGGGTCCCTCGCCTGTTAAATCCAGAAATGGATTCTTTACTATGTCACTTTTATTGACCATCACAGTCGATTTACTTGGCTTTATCTTCTCAAGCATAAATCTGACACATACAATGCTTTTCTTCACTTCAAGAAACTTGCTGAAAATCAACTTGGTAAAACCATTAAAACTGTTCAAACAGATTGGGGGGGTGAGTTTAGGTCCTTAACCAAATTTTTCCTTGACAATGGCATACAACACAGACTTTCATGTCCTCACACTCCTCAGCAAAATGGAGTTGCTGAGAGAAAACATAGACATGTGGTAGAAATGGGCTTATCCTTGCTTGCTCAGTCATCTTTGCCTATGTCTTTTTGGGATGATGCATTTGTTACCTCTTGCTATCTCATAAACAGAGTTCCTACAAGACTTCTAGCCTATAAAACACCTTTAGAAACCCTTTATGGTCACAAACCAAACCTGCTCATGCTAAAAACCTTTGGCTGCTTGTGTTTTCCTCTTGTTAGACCTTATAATAAGCACAAGCTCGAATTCAGATCCTCTCATGGAACATTCATTGGCTATAGCCCTCATCATAAGGGTTATAAGGTTCTTCTGCCAAGTGGTAAAGTTATTATCACTAGGGACATCACCTTCAATGAGAGCATTTTTCCTTATCAACAGAAACTCACATCACCCATCAAAGAAGTCTGTCCCACATATCTGAATTCTACTGCTGCACCTTGTGTAGTGGATTTTTCCCAATCTTATCATAATTCCACCACTCAACCTTCTAACAACAACAATGCTACTCACACCCCTCAGTCCATCACTACACCAAATTCCAGATCCTCAATGTCCTCTCCCTCCAATCACAGAAACTCTCATTCAAACACTACCATTCCTTTGTTTGTTGAGCTGCCTATAGTGGATAACAGATCTCATCAATCTTTTGAACATGTGAATAACACTGGTGCTGCTAATGAATCTGTTCATCCTATGATCACCAGGTCAAAGAGAGGGATCTACAAGCCAAAGGTGTACAATGCAGCAGTGTTACCCAGTGAACCTAAGTCCATTGATGAAGCTGTCAAAGACATTCACTGGAAAAATGCTATGGAAAGTGAATTTTCAGCCTTGATACAAAACAACACTTGGGATTTGATTCCTATACCCACAGGGTGTAATATAGTGGGCAGTAGATGGGTGTTTAAACTGAAGAAAAATCCAGATAACACCATTAGCAAGTATAAAGCTCGGTTGGTTGCCCAAGGGTATTCTCAAACAGCAGGGTTTGATTTCAAGGAGACATTTAGCCCAGTGGTTAAACCAACCACCATAAGAGTGATTTTGAATCTTGCGGTGCAGTTTGGCTGGAGCACTAAGCAATTGGATGTAAGCAATGCATTTCTGCATGGAGATTTGGAGGAGGTTGTTTACATGAGACAGCCTCCAGGGTTTGAAACTCTATCTAAAACTGGTCAACCTCTTGTGTGCAAGCTGAAAAAGGCAATATATGGTCTTAGGCAAGCTTCTAGAGCATGGTTTACAAAGATCAAAGGAGCTTTACAAGATCTTGGTTTCAAAAATTCAGTGGCAGATTCATCTTTGTTCTACAAAAATGAAGGACATGTGAAGATTTTTATGTTGATCTATGTTGATGATATCATCATTACTGGAAATGATGATAGAATGATTCAAGAAGTTATCCTTAGTTTGAAGAAGAATTTTCCTTTGAAAGATCTTGGCAGACTTCATCATTTTCTAGGCATTGAAGCACACTACTCATCACAGGGAATGCATCTCTCTCAGCACAAGTATGTCTGTGATTTGCTGGTTAAAGCTAAAATAGAAAATGCTAAAGGCTGTCCTACCCCAATGGTCTCAACTTCTAAGCTTTCTAAACATCATGGAGACCCTATAGTGGATCAGACTCTTTATAGAAGTATTGTGGGAGCCTTACAATATTTAACTATCACAAGACCAGAAATCTCCTATGCAGTGAATAAGGTTAGCCAATTCATGTCCTGTCCCCTTGACATTCATTGGAAGTCTGTAAAAAGAATTTTGAGATATCTGCAAGCAACACAGTATTTTGGGCTATACATTACAAAAAGCAAAAGCCTCAAGCTTATGGGATTCTCTGATGCTGACTGGGCATGTGACATAGATGATAGGAAGTTAGTCACAGGATCTTGTGTCTTCCTCAGTGGAAATCTGATTTCATGGAGCTCAAAGAAACAAAATGCCATTTCAAGGTCAAGCACAGAAGCTGAATATAGAAGCTTAGCTTACACAGCTGCAGATATCAGTTGGATTCAGTCACTGTTGAGAGAGATAGGTATGATCATTGATAACATTCCTGTGATTTGGGTTGATAACTTAGGAGCTATAGCATTGGCTTCAAATCCTGTTCTTCATGCTCGGACAAAGCACATTGAGCTTGATATTCACTTTGTTAGAGACTTGATACAAAAAGGGAAGGTGACTGTTCAACATGTGCCCTCATGTGATCAACTTGCTGATATCCTTACTAAACCCTTAAGTTTCCAATCCTTCACTCGGCTTCGAAGTTCCTTAGGAGTTTGTGATCTCACCTCGATTGGATTGAGGGGGGCTGTTAGACAAAAAATGACCAATCCACACACTCATATTCCATGCAGCCCATAATGCACTCAGTTTAGGCCCATGCAGCCCAGCTCAATTTGGATTCAAAACCAGCACGTGAGAAAGAAATGGTGCATGAGAAGAGGACAAGCATAACGGATAGGGACAGCTGTATTGTACCAGCTTAATCTCAACCATTGATGAGGAATGATATAACAGGATAGGTGTATGGTTAGGATAGATGCTTAGTCATTTTTGTACTGTTCGATTCTTATCCAAAATGATGAGAGATGGCATTATATACTCGAGCAATGTAACAGTGGTTTATGCAATGAGAAATATATCTGTTCTTGTTCACATTTTCCAGACATGAATTTCTTTGATATCTTGTTCATTATGATTCTGATACTTTTCTTTCAGACACATGTGCCGCCAAGTTTAAGATATTTAAAATGATAGCAGCGCTCTAAACTGTCTTATTCCTAGGTTTTTGTTTGTTATAAAATCCTTGGTAAAGATGTTACCAAGCAATATCCCGAATGTAATAAAAAAAGTTATCGTTATTAATTGTGAGAGGTTGAGCGACATAATGTATATACACGCATTGTTTAAAATAGGGAAAATACCTGCAAATTAAAATAAATACAAAGAGATTCGAGAGAAACAAATATCCCTTACAATTATGTGGAATTAAAAGTTGTTCCATGCGTTGAAAGTTGTAAGTTATGCATTGGAAAACAATCAGATATTAGATTTTCAATTAAAATAATCTTTATATTGTTAATTTTAATGGAATTCCAATAGACAATTGGTACAACTATTAAAGACTGTTAATATTCAGAGAATCTTAAAAGGCAACCATCTGCATATATAAGACCCAATTTTTTCGTTAAAAAGAAACACACCAACAAAGTCACAAAGCAACCATGGACTCCACAGCAGAAGCGGATGGTAAGCAATTACAACTTAGACCTTTTATTTATATATTAGCTTTATTACATACATATATGGTTCCTAATATTCTTGTTAAGCAATTAAATGTTACGCTAGTCCGTTTATAGTGTTGAAAAAAATATATTGTTTTTAAAAGAATAGTTATGAATATGTTAGATTTTGAATATTATTTACATTTGACAGTACAATTTGATATATTCTGTATATAAATCTTACAATGATACTAAAGTATGAGTAAATTTACTCTGCTTAGGTGCTAAATCACAGCTCTGTCACCCTAAAGAGTTTTAGATCATTGATATATGTATATATATATTTATGCATGATTTGGTTTAAAGTTTTTAGTTTGTGTTGCTTACAGTAGCTATTATGGAAACGAGAGAGGCTTCACCCGCTCATTTGTTGATCAAAATTCAATCTTTCTCGTTGCTTGAGAAGCATGGGATCAACAAATTCGAGACCACCGAATTTGAGTCCGGGGGATATTAAGTGGTATGTGACTTAAGCTCAACAATACAAACTAGAAATTTCAAATATTTATTTTAAAAATTTTATGACAAGCCTTGTGATTTGCTTGTACAGGAAACTTATAATTTACCCAAATGGAATAGAAATAGACGAAGGATACGTGTCGGTATACTTGGCCATTGTGGATTATGGTGGCTTGCCTGTAGGCTGGGAGGTGAATGTCGTCTTCACGATATGCTTGTTTAATCAGATTTCCGGCAATTATCGCTATTCACTAGGTAAATTAATTTTCTAGTCACTCTGTGGCAAAATTTAGAAAAAAGATGTACTCATAAGTTGCGAAATACGTTAAAGTAATTCATCCGAAAAGGAAAACATGTATATGTTTGTACGTTTTTTAAAAATAGATTGTGGTATCAGGAAGAAGTCGGAGTTTTGGTGCAATAAAGACAGAATGGGGCTTCTCTAAGTTCATTTCCAAGAAAGAACTTAACAATGGATACTACATCAGCCACGACGACAATTGTGTGTTTGGTGCTGAAGTTTTTGTAAACCAAAAAAAACCAATCATTCACTGTCTGTCTTTGAAGAATGTTGTTGATGCTCCCTTCAAGAAGGAATGGAACATTCCAAAGGCAAACTCCCTCAGCAACAAGCCCTCGGTGAAGATGTACTGCAAGGCGGACACAAATTATGCTCTCACCATTCGTGATGGGAAAGTCGTTCTTGCACCCGCCAATCCATCTGATCTTCGACAGCAATGGACACAAATTAAATCTCGGGTGAAGGATGAAGAATGTTTCCCAAGCTTTGCTCTGGTGAACAAGGCGACTAGGCAGGCCATCAAACACTCTATTGCCGGCGCCAGTACTCAGCCTACTGTCCAGTTGACCGACTATAATGCCAACGGATTTGATGAATCGATTTTGTGGACTGAAGGCAAGGACTTGGGAGACGGTTACCGAGCAGTAAGGATGGTTAGCAACAGTCGCCTCAACATTGATGCTTGCAATGGAGACAAAAATCATGGAGGAGTTCGTGATGGCACTGATATTGTCCTTTGGGAGTGGAATAAGGGAGATAATCAACGCTGGAAGATTGTTCCCTACTAAAGGGAGATTTTAAATATGAATGAGATTTTATTGACTTAATTTGGCCGAACAACCAAAATTATTATGTTGGATTTTATTTATTAATAGTTGTTAAACATAATAGTCATGAATCACAAAATATAGACACATTATTATAGTTGAGATACAAACTTACCACTTTTTATATTAGTAACTTGGTAGAGAAGGAGCGAGTTATGGCCTCAGGGCACTCTTCGATTTCAATGATCTTCGATTTCAATGTCGGGTTATTCGTAATTTTTTACGCAAACTGGAAAAATTCAGGGGTAATTATTTGTGACCATCTGTATTTGTCAATTTTGCCCACGTGCCCAAGGCTATGTATATTAATTTTTCTGCTAATAGTGTATCTTAACGAATGTTTGTCCTGTTCCAGGCCATTTTTTGTGATGATTGGAATGATGATGAAGAGGAGACTAATGCATCCGAGCAAGTGGAGGACACACAAAAGAAGATTGAAGTTGCAAACACCACTCTAAAAAATCCTTATAATCATTTGGAATTAAAAGTTGTTCCATGCGTTGAAAGTTGTGCATTGGAAAACGATGAGATATTAGAGCACCATGCTTTGGGTCTCTTTTTGCATATGTGACAAATAAATGGAGTTAAGTATATAATGAAATTAATAAACCCAAGTTAAAAAATTCAAAATCTATCTAATGTAAAAAAAAAAAGGTATTAGGTCTAGAATACCTAACAACCAATAAAAATATAATAATAATAAATAATTGCTAATTGTAAGGTTCACACTTGGCTTTAGAGCACCCACAATGCTTTGGGTCTCTTAACAAAAAATCACATGTCACATGGGAAATAGACTTAGTCTATAAAAAAAATACTTCCCAATGCAATTAAAAGTGGACATGGTCTAGCTTATGTGGCAATGAAAAAAAGAGACCAAGTCCACACTTGGGTTTATTTTGGACCCAAGTACAAACCCAAACACTCATCATTTGTTCTTAATTTAATTTTTTTTAAATGAATAAAATATATTATAGCATTTCTATTGGTTGGCATGTATGCTAGACCTAGTCTTTTTATTTTTGCATTGCAAAGTTTTTGAGTTTTTTTACTAGAGTTTGTCCATGTCATTTAAAACTCAAGTCCAATTATATGCCACATATACAACAAGAGACCCAAAGTATTGTGGATGCTCTAAAATAGACCAAAGAGTGGACTTGATCTCTTTTTTTTATTGCCACATAAACTAGACTAGGTCCACTTTTAATTGTATTGTGAAACACTTTTTTATAGACTAAGTCTATTCATGTGATTTTTTTAAGGAGACCCAATGCAGCATTGTGGGTGCTCTTAGATTTCCAATTAAAATTATCTTTATATTGGTAATTTTAATGGAATTCCACAGTTGATACAACAAGTACCCATTAAAAGGCAACCATCTGCACATATAAGCATATTCAATGGTTATTCTATTTCTCTATTTTGTTGTCACATAGACGCAAATAATCTTATGTGGCTTAAAAAAATTCTAAAAGACTTTACAGAGCATAACCTTTCAACAAGTAACCATTGGAGATTGCTCTAAGACCCCACTTTTTCGTTAAAAAGAAACGCACAAACAAGTCACAAAAGTCTCTCACACACACGCACTCACCTTTCCTCCTGAGCCAATTTTCCGCTGCCTTGATGGAGTCGAGATACGATATTTTCACCGATCTACTGGCGGAAACCTCCGGTGATTTCATAATCGTTCAGGCCTGGGAAGAAAGTAATGTCGATTACGAGTCCTCGAAAACCCCCTCGGCCTACCTGCCTCCTCGCCGGAGACGCTATTTTTTTTCTTCCCGCCGGCGACAAATCTCGATCGTTGGAGGCGAAGACGGTCCCCAGAGCAGTGCATCGTATGTCAATAGAGCGTCGGATCTGATGGCTTACCAGCGGGCTTCATCAACGGCGGCACACAATCGGCGCAGGGGCATGAGATATCCCCTGGCTGAAGGTGCCCTAATTTTTATTTGTGGTTTGTTCTTTGGATGAATTTTAATTTTTTATTGGTGCTCGTCAATGTTGACGGTGATATTGTTTTTTCTTTTTTTGAATGAATAGTTGTTTTCATGTAGTTAGATTTTTCTAATGGTGTTTTTTGTTGTTTTTGATACAGGGAGAGTCAGACGAGTGTGCGAATCTTGTCCTGGCAGATATGAGGACTTGGATTGATGAGAGGGTTGAGAGGTATAGTGAGAAATAAGGATGATGATGATTCTGTGCTAATGTGTTTTTTNNGGGACTTGTGAGGGTCTTGGGCTGTTGTTGAGGTGTAAAAGGTTTAGTATAAATGAATTTACTTAATCGAATTGATATGATATATACATGTAATTCTATGATAACATGTCTATGGATGAATTACAACTTTAATTGTTTCAGAATCATTAATCAACATAATATTTCACTACTTATAGATCACATTCATAGTTCATTACTCTGTCTTCTCAAATGAATTTATTTTCTTGTTCTTAACTTTCATTAGTATTTCTCCAAGTAAGCTACTGAAGTATTGGTCAGTAAGCCATCGGAGGTACTCCACCAAAGGCGGTTCCTTGAGGAACATCAGAGGAAGAAGTAAGGGATTTGGCCTTGGCCAGGTAAAGATTGCTGTTGCCAGTTACGCTCTCCATTTTTTTTTCCGGCGAGAGAAAAGAAAGGAAGAAGACGCGTGGTTCAGTTTTTTCTTCGATTATAACTTCCTTTCTTTCTTTATTATGTTTTATATTTTTTAATCCTTTTTTATTTATCAGTCGGTTACACTTATTTTATGTTATATAAGGCAATACTTCTAGCAGTATTAGATTTTTGGATTCTTTTACGGGAAAAAAAAAAGAAGAAAAGTTGTGGACATAAAAAGAAAAAGAAAAAAGGGAGTGGAAAAGAATAGAAAGGCCGTATTCCTTGAATACGGTTTTTGATCTTTTTTTTTTGTAAAACGTATTCCGTGAATACGGGTTCCTTTGTAAAAAAAATGTAAAAAACGTATTTAAGGAATACGTTTTTTAATTAAATTACACAGAAAACGTATTTACGTGCTTTCTATGTTGGTCCACTCTCTCCTTTTTTTTTTTGTTTTTTGTCCACTTATTATTTTTTTATTAATAAATATAAATCTCCCTAGACTTTTGATATTATTTTTATATGGTTTCCTTTTATGTTTAGGTTTGATTCTCTTAATAGGTTTCCTACTTGGATCAGAAGAGATAAAGAAAGAAGTATAGAAAAACCCTATTTCCATTGACTGAAAAGAAGCACACGAACACGACACAAAGGAACCAAAAGCAACGATGGAATCCACGGCAGAAACTGATGATGGTAAGCAATTACAACGCAGACCTTTTGTAATATTAGCTTTTTAGTACTACATATATATGCTAGTCTCTTGTTTTGGTTTGAAGTTTAATTTAGTTTGTGTTGCTTTGCTTACAGTAGCCATTATGGAATCTAGAAAGGCTTCACCTGCTCATTTGTTGGTCAAAATTCAATCATTCTCGTCGTTTGAGAAGCATGGGATCAAGAAATTTGAGACGACCAAATTTGAGTCCGGAGGATACAAGTGGTACGTGACAGGTTTTTTCGTGTTACAAGCGGAACAACACAACTAGAAATTCGCTTCAAAGAAAATATTTATTTGACGCTTCATGCATTACTTGTGCAGGAAGCTTATAATTTACCCAAATGGAAGGGAAAGAGAGGAAGGATACGTCTCGGTAGACTTAGCCATTGTGGATTATGGTGACTTGCCCGCAGGCTGGGAGGTTAATGCCGTCTTCACCATCTTCTTGTTTAATCAGATTACCGGCAATTATAGCTATTCACCAGGTAAATTAATTTTCTAGTCAAGCCATGGCAAAATTTAGAAAAAGATGTACTAAGTTGCCCAATTTGTTACAATAATTAATCAAAAAGGCAAACTGTTCTGGTTTAGCTTTTTTCTCTCTAGTTGTGAAATTCTGGTGCAATATTAGCTTGTTCTAAATCATGGGTGGAGCCACCCTTGGG